CTCTCTCTCTCTCTCTCTCTCTCTCTCTCTCTCTCTCTCTCTCTCTCTCTCTGCCCAAGACTTCAGTCTCAGCAAGAATCAGTGACTGGACCAGGTGCCAGGCCCAGGCCTCAGGAGAAGGGAGAAAGAACAGAGATCTCTCTGAACCTTCCAGCTCAGTGTGTCTCTGTTTTTCCTTTGACAGGAGATCGACGATTGCCTGGTCCAAGCAAAAGACCGGAGTTATGATGCCCTTGTGCACTTCGGGAAGCGAGGCTTGAACGTGGCAGCCACAGCTGCGGTGATGGCTGCCTCCAAGGTACCGTGCTAGGCCCCGACCACCGCGGCCGCCTGAGCGCCTCCATCCCTCCAGCTGCCCTGCTCACCTCCTGTGCGAGTTGCACAGGACAGGCTGAGGACCAGTCAGTGGTTCCTCATCTTTCAGGGTCCCTTTGAAAATCTGATGGAAAAAATGGTGAATCTTGCCCCCAGAAAATTGCACGCTCTTGCACACACACATTCAATGTTGTTCCCAGCGCCCCTAAGCTCACTGTGGGTCCTGGGTTAATATCCTCTAAATGACCTGGAGCATAGGGCTAGGAGAAATAGAAGAGGGACCGGGGGGAGAGGGGGGACACTGCTCTACAGCTTCCCAGGGTGCCCTGGGAAGGTCACCTGCACTCAAACTAGACGGGGGAAAGACTCCCTGAGCGAGTGGGTGGACTCCAGGCTCATGGCCTGGCAGATCCAGGGGAAGGACCCAGGCCCCCTGAGGAAGTCGAGTGTCCCAAACACGGAGGGCGATGATATGTGTGACAGCAGCAACTGGAGGTGGGGGAGGTTTGAAATAAACTCTGGGCTTGTGGGCTGTTGTGATGCAAGCTTCCTTCCTTCTCTTTTCCATCCAGGCCTGGTGACAGGTCGTCTGTGTTCCTTCTTAGTTTCTCCTTATATCACATTCTCCTTGTCATTGTGTCATTTTCTCGTTATGTGCTCGGCCCTGAAAAATTAAACGGGTAGATGTTTACTCTCAGAGTAAATTCAGCAGGTTGCCCTAGTCTTCCTGGTGACTACCCCTCGCCCCGAATCCGCATGTGGAGTCAGCTGGAGGTGGAGGAGAGGCAGTTACGCTAATGTTTGGGGAAGCAATAGTGGGGAGGGGAGTTGTATTAGCCAAGGGAAGCTCGTCCTGGGTGGCAATGTGAGTGTTCAGAGGCAAAAGGAAGTGGAGCTATGAAAATGTTTGGAAGAGGCCGATTAATACAGATCCTGGTGCTCCGAGGGCTTTGAGAGGATGGTGTGATGGAGGGTGCTGACAGCCAGCTGGATCAGGGGACTGAGCTGGATTTTCTGTGCCCTGAACCAGGGCGAAGCACATTAGCAACAATTCTGGAAGAAAGATTCATACCCGGGGCTGAGTGTCTGTTTGAAAAGCACATTCCACCTTCTGCAAACAAAGGCTGGGGGAGAGAGAGAGAACGAAAAGGAGGTGATTCCCATTTCAGAGAGAGACCAGCACCTTTGTGATGCAGAACTTCATGCAGCTAGTACCTGGAGGGGCCTTGCCCACCTTGGTACAGTAGCTGCTGGCAAGGCGCGGGCGCCCAGTGAGTATCTGGAGGGGACATTTCGCTTTGGTGTTCCAAGGAGATGTATCAGGATTTACAAAGAGCAGTGAATTCCAAGATGTTTCTGTTTGAGATGCAACCATTATATGTTTTTATTTTTTAAGCTGAAAGAAAAGAGAACTCAGAATTGCTAAATTCTGAATTCATCAGGCCAATTCTACAACATGAAGCTGCCTTCCCTTGGCCCCTCTCTTGCCCCAGTCTCCTCAGCTTCTGAGGCCTGACGGAGATGGGCTGCTGCTCTTTACTCAGCTCGGTTGTAGAGCATAAATGTGGCATATCTATCATGGTGACTCAGTACAGGCCATCTGTGCACTCAGCCATGTGTGTATAAGTTTTATTCTGATGGTGACTTTGTAGGGCCACCCTTGTCCAGGTCTGCCTCAAGCTGGAGCCTCCAGTGTCTTGATATCATCTTAGCCAGTCACCCCCAGCCACTCTGACGTCTTGGGGAAGCCCATGAGCCAGGCCTCCAGCCAGGCACCTGCAGCTAACTAACCTGCAGGGAGCCCCAGACAGTCTGAAACTCACCTTGGGAAATAACTTCTCACTAGTTCTTCCTAGATGGACTGAAGTAGTGAAGGATGCCTGCTTCCTGCTCAGCTGGGTTTCAGATGAGAAAGTTTTCTGTCTTTGGGGGACTTGCTTTTCATCTCTAAATATAAATGTCTCGAGAGAAGAAACAAATCTTCTCTTCCAAAAATAATGCCCTCTATTTTTGAAACAGATGTGTACTAAAAAAAGGAAAAAAAGAAATAAACTCGTCTGGCTGAGGGGTCGCTCAGTGGTTTCCATAGCAACAGTGGATTGCTGCAGGCAAGGGTCCAAGGAGGGTGACTCACAAGGGGCTAAATCTAGCTTTCCTGTCCCTTCTACCTGGGAAGCTTTGTTTTCCGTTTTTTAATAGATTCTCAGATGTGCCGAATCAGAATCTCAGGCAGTTAGTTGGCTCCTAAATCTCTGCTTTTAACAAGCTCCCAGATGATTTTTAAACAGCCAGCTCTGTGTGGGTCACTGCTTGAGGCCCCATCCAGAACTGTCAAGGCACAGGTGACGAGGGTTCGAACAGTTAACTTCTTTAGCATTCCCGGGATGCTCACGGAGCTCCTTACGACCATGAACCTTGAGAAGGAAAAAGCTGAGCCTGCACAACCTTGTTGATTACCCCAGGGGAAGAGTCAAAGCGATGTTGTGAAAAAAAAAGAAGAAAAAAAGCCACCCTGCCAAGTCACCCATGGCTAAGGTGACCATGTAATTTAATGTCCAGACCAGGACAACAGGTATAACTGGGCTTGTCCCAAGCAAACTGGGGCTGAGGGGTCACCCTGCTCATGGCTCCATTTTACATCTCTTGGACCCTGCCTGTCTCTTTCCAGAAAATACCCTCAACTCACAAATCAGTTCTCACTCTAAATACCTACTGTATTTAGCTGAACAGGTGCAAGAGAGAGTGTGAGGGGCCAGAAGACTCTCCCTTAGTTTGCACAGATTAAAAGGAGGCTGGGATCAGGTGACCGGGTGAGGGCTCACCCCTCCTTATGTCTCCTTTTTCCATCCTCTGGCTCCCTAGGAGGAAACTGCTGAGCTTAACAGGAAAAGTAAAGGTCTTTTGGCTATACTTTCAGTTAATT